CTTACCTCTTAATGAATATCCACCAAGCATGGTATACTTTATCAACCCCTTCAGCTCCTCTCTGCTTTCAGGTTCACATCACCTGAGTTGGTTTTAATAGTAATGTGTTTCACCACTAAGCGATGTGTATCTACAGATCTCACAAAAAATCTTTTCTAATTGAATAATTTGTTCGTTTCTTGTTGATGTTGGTAGTGTAGAAGCAAGTGGCGCACTATAAAACGTGCATGGTCACGGGTTGAATTCTCGGACCGCTATACGTCTAAGCCAACTAGACCTTTCATCCCTCTGGGGTCGTTTAATTGGTACAAGAGTCGTCTGGATGGAAGGAAGCCCATGTTCATTGGCTGCCCAGTGCAAATCATGGTAACTAGACCTATCATTCAAAAACACCATTACGATTCTGAGTGGAAGACGAATGCGGGGCGCATCCATAAAGGGGATTGATTATCGCCAGAACCTTTGTGGCTTTTATGCTTTCTCCTGTGTAATGGTGTGCTGTCTGTAGTCGATTTGTGTCGTTTGGCTTTGAAATATGCCTTGAAATTTGAATGGTACACTGATGAACAGATTCAAATGTACGTTCATTAAACGTTCCCGATCGAAAACTTCATTGAAACGAAAAACATGCGGGAATAGCCATTTTATGCCCCATCCTTTGATCACTTTGATGCTTCGTTTAACATCAATGCTGCCATGGTCATTGCAGTTGCGAGACTTGCTAGAGACAAAAGTGAGAATACGATGCAGAGAACTTTGTAACATGGATGTCCTCGTTTCCTGTAATATACTAGTAATTCTTCAGTCATACTCGTTTCTGTCTTCATTCCACATTTTTCAGCCAAATCGCTCACTTGAAATGGGCTGTTTTCTTTTTCTTTCCTTTTTTACCTTTTTTCTTTTTCTTTCCGGACGTCGTTCCTGCTTCTGTAATGAATAGAACTTGTTTTCGAAGAAAAACCGATTCAATGGCTGTCGAAGATGTAGCGGTCGTAACGATGAGATCATTCACGAACACGCAAAAGTGGCCAATCCCCCTAACCTGTACCAGTAGCACCAGTAGTTCCTGTAGCACCACCAGTAGTTCCTTCGCCACCTGTAGTTCCTGCCCCAGTTCCATCGAGTTCCTTCTTCTCGTCCTTATCATCAGCTCCCTCCTGGTTCTGAATAATTGTGAAACCTATATGTTGACCTCGTAAACACCTGCTTACGTTCTTCATATATGTTAGTCAAGAACCAATACGAAAATGGAAAACTTACGCCAGTTGGAGCAGCTCCACTTTCTCCACCAGGAGGTGCATCACCTTGTCCACTGGGGGCACCGGTCCCTGACTTCGGTGCATCCGCCATTCCTGAGGACTGCTTTCTTGGACTGTACTTAGTTAACTGAATCACACCATACCTCTCTATTCCTTTCTGTTCTTCCATCAACCTCTATCATTATCGATATCTATTAAAAACGAAAACACTAAAGGCTAATCTTTTTATTTCTGTATGTGTTTGTATGTACGTAAAAGGATGGGTGCTGAAGTGTTCTGACCGACCTCGTTTCGGGATGCGCCTCACATTCGGCTTCCAATCAGAATCGTAGTGGCGTGTTGAATGCGTATATGGCCTGTACAATCGCTTGCATTACCTAGCCGATGTACCATTCGGAGATTTTATTCTCACAGGCGGGACTGGTGCCAATTACCCGACGAAGGCCGGGTTTCGCCCAGGAGCACCGACTGGAGTCGATCCCCGGGCCTTGTATGTGTGGTAATGCCCCACTTGCCACGACACCACATAAGCCCATGGAAAAATCTCGGGACTTTACTCGTCGCTTCTTTAATTTCTACCTATTGCGGTCTGTGATCGTTCTGTTGTCTGCTACCTTTATGCAGTGAATTTGAGAAATCAGATGGTGTCTTCTCCTTTTTCGACAGAAATGATCCGCTTATGCCGTTATCGCTTTGTCGATTTCTCCTGGAATTTTGGAATGCCAAGAAAATTTGTAGGTGATTTTTAACAAAATACATATACAAAGTAAATGTGAAATTTCCAATAGACAACCTGAATGTTTATCTTATCTGATATTTGTAACAACAGAGATTGTCTAGGAAGTGAAATAACAGCTCACAACAGAAAAAAGGTTCTCAGTGAATGATATAGGATACAAAATAAGTAAAAAGTGATAGAAATTGAGTGAAGAAAGTCAAAAAAACGACAACTATACAATAATATTCAAACTCTTCTCAAGAAGAGCTTGTACATACAATTCCTTTTGACAGATGGAGGAGGGATAAAGCGAGAGACTATTGCCCGAAACCGGTTCAATTTGATAACATTCAAGGAAGAGCGAAAAGTATAAACAGAAATCCCCGAAAAAAGCTTCAACATGTACTTGTGTGAGCCTTAAAAAGGTAAGTGACGAGCAAAGGTAGTTTCAGGAGGTGTTATCAATCGAAGAGAAGCGAGAAGTTTATCGATATCGATTACTGTAAACCCTTTATAGAGGTTTTCGCCACAATCGATAACCACATGGTAGTGTGTAGGACCGGAGGATGAATGGCAGTTCCTAAAATGGATGTAAATCGGAGCACGGGTACCGGGGTAACTACTGTTGCATGTGCTACGAACTTCTATGCGCCCAAAACCAAGAAGGAGACAGCAGACTTCCACGTTCCGATTACAATTAAAGATCACAATGATGAAACTTTATTTATGGAAGAAAAACAAGATTTTTCCCACACAAAATCGTGGAAAAAAAACAAATTTCCTTAATAGTAATCCAATGATAGAATTTGAACGCCATTTTCAAGAACCCTGAGGGACATCGACTTTTTAAGCGCGGAAGCTTCGATTATTTTCCCGAGCAGTAAAACTACTGGTACTAAATCACTTTTATTGCACGAATTGCCCAAAAAATAAAGATAATCTTAATCGGGATTGATGACGGGTTGAAATCAGCATGATCTCGACAGAATTGAAACCCTGACAAATGAACAATATTAGAAAAATAAAATGATAAAAAATAAAACAAAGGTAGAAAAAACTGAATAGTGCGAGGGACCTGACTTTTTCATTTGATGCCTTCCGTATTTACTGCAGTATTACCCAGTCGGAAACTACCTGAGATAAGTTCATTTGAAGCAACATTAGCATACCTCCTAATATCACATGCCCACCAACACGGACTGAGTGACATTCCCCAGCCCTTTACTTTGAAGGCTTGATCCAGTCCACCTTGTTCTTCGAAGTAGACGGCTTTGATTGAAGTGCCTTTGATATCCTTTGAAAAAAAGTACATGAAGGATATAAGAGTAAAATTTTTCGGCATATATCAATCAAATTTGAGATGCGCCCTGCTATAGAATACTGCTCAGAATCGTAAGGGTGTTTCGCGTGCGCATATGACCTATACATAGATCTGTGATGACTAGCAGATCTACAAGTCAGTGGTTTTTTTTTCACCCAGACGAATCTGTTACCAACCGTTCGTAGGGGTATGGAAAGCTTGATTAGCTAGGGGTGTATCGATTCAGGACTCGATCCCCCAACCGTTACGTATCTTTGGTGCGACACTTGTCACTACAACACCTTCACAGTCATTCTGCACTTTTGTCTTCTTCAAGTGCTCTGTCTCCTCCAGTTGTAAAAGAGTACCTCGAGAAGGAATGGGGTAGTCACTGTAATTAGTGGTAGTGCAAACACAATCAGTGAAACCGTAAGACCCATGTGCCTCAATTAGCACTCAGTCTTTCGAACTCCTTATCGCAGCCACGTGTCTTCTTTTTTCTCAAGATAGCAGTCGCAGTTCGTCTATCCTAATAGCATCTGGCCTTCCTTGCTTGAAGATGACGTGCACGAAAAATGGGATTTGTAGGATCAGATCAGGGCCGAGGTGGTGTAGTGGCAAGTGGCGTACTATCCGCACGCATGATTGCGGGTTCGAATCCCGATCTACTTAAGCCAACTAAGCCTCCCATCCCTTAGGGGTCGATTAATTGGTACAAGACTCGCCTAGAAGGATAAAAGCAGTGGCTTGCACATCGAATGGCCACCGCAATTCATTGTATAGGCCACATACGCATTCAATACGCCACGACGATTCTGAATGGAAGACGGATGCGAGGGTGCATCCCACTGATGGGATTGATCAACGCTCCAGGTCTTTTGAAGACTTCAGATGAGCATTTGGTCTGCATTTCCAGATTTTTGATAGGATCTTGACCCAAATCCGGCTGGTATGCTAGAATTTGAAACCCGAAACAATCTATCTACTTGGGCCATAAACTTACTTTTTACTACGTACCGGATGATTCTAGTGATTTCATCAAAACAATAAAAGGGTATATCAATGATGAATGGTCTGGAAGAATAAACATGAAAAGAGGAGGAAAGATAAAATTTTTGGAATTTCATTTTTTGTGATAAGCCAAGCATTCAGGATACTGACTGGAACTGACCTTACTGGTACCCAAAGGAAAGTAGTAGCATTTGATTGATAGCTGATCTGTTGTTATTTTGCTCCACTTGTCTTCATAGATCAACTTTGCCATTAGAATGCCAGAATCCTTTCGCAGCTGCAAAGAAATGGCTAGTGCCTAGAGATTGTGGAAAGTCTAATGGGCAGCTGTTAATCACATAATTACCCTTATAAAAGACCAAAGATCGACCTTGCTGATCAGTAAGGGACTCGATCTTTACGCTTAAAGGCTTGGTCAAGAGAATCAGAACGGGGAAATGTCAGAGGCGTATTGGTGAAACGATTTTTGCTCAGCTTTGTTTACTTAGTGTGAAAGCTGCCTGCACTGAAAGCTTATATATAGCGATAATTGGAACGATAGGTCTTCTAGAAGACCAAAGCACTCCACTGAATATCGATCACTTTGCAAAGAGCATAGGTCAGACAAGAGATCGATCCTCGGCCCCCGCGCGGGGTACCCGCACTCTTTGCCACTGCACCTTCCGTTTATATATCTTTGGACTATACGAATTCTTTTTTTTTCTGCAAGAATCTTTACTTTAGTAAAGTTGTAGAACGACTGTAATAACGACACCCAGAGATGCTATATTGTGAAAAAAAACCGGTACAAGTGTCCCAAGAATTAAGCCGTGTACTGGTATTTTGGGATTTTTTGAAACTTGCCCTCAAATTCAAAGCTTTAAATCTTTTTTTTACTGCTATCAAGAACCACAGGTATGCAGGAACTCATCTGAGCGTACTCGACCGGAAACTAATCAGTTACAAGTACATGATATTTAAATCATAAATATCTAGTAAATAACTTAATAGCTAATAAAGTTACACTATTTTATTCCATACTGTACTACCGTGAATTCTCTGACATCTCAAAAGCGAAAACAAATCAAAGACAGTTTTCAGAGCAGGATGAACATACCTTATTAAAGGACGGAACGGGACAGCCGAGAAAAGTAACCCACGTGTGTGTGTGTGCACAGCCACCTATTTATCAATACCCCATATCGATAACAGCAGTAACATGTGTTGGGAACCTCACGACTACTTATCTGAGCCGTTGTATGGGAAAAAGAACCAATCCAAAGTCGTTTCATACTCGTGTATACTATAAATTTAAAGAAAATGCTTTTGGTGTTGATCAATCCCGACTGAGGGATGCGCCACGCATTCGACTTCCATTCAGATTCGACGTAGCGTTTGAATGAGAATGTGGCCTATACGTGCGACCAACCGATGGGTTAAATTAGTGCTTTTATACTCCGAAACGAGTCTGATATCAAATAACCGACCAAGGAAGGATAGTAGGGTTGGCAAGTCTAGGCAAGTAACGAGCCGGGATTCGATCCTCGGGTGATGCATGTGTGATACTGCACCTCTTGCCACTACACTACCTTTGCCCTATAGCTTATTTCGTTACTACCAAACGATCATATTGTAAGAGATGAAGAAGTGGGTTAGGCGTGCTGAAGGAAAGACGCAGCACCACTATAATCACGGAGTGTACATCTAATCCTTTCCTTCCCATTGCAGCTATGCATTGACCAATATGGGTCTACAAATTTTATATTTATAGATAAATATTTTGAGCGGGCATGTTTCCCGTGAAGTTCACTGAACGTGCTAACGCCTGAAATTCGTGCGGAAGTCGAATGCACTGCGTGTACAAAAAGGGCTGGTAAGTGTACAATATTTTCTACACACATAACTCTTGTTCCCCGAGACGGCCCTTCGTAGAAGCCGTGAACGAAGAAATCCTTCAAGCCCCACGTGTAAAAATATGCATACACATACAAAGTCTCTTGTTATTCTTTATTATTTATTTTATCAACTTTAGATTTAAAGACATTGATAAGTAGTTGCTACACTTCGAAGCAGCTCACAATTTTAAGATAAAAAGCTTTATGAAATCGACTGTGATGATAGAACTTAAAACGCACCGGCACAGAAACTTCGCAAAACTCTACAAAACAAAATATTCTCTCGAAGATCAACAAATTTTACCGGAAAGAAATGAAACAACGAAAAACAACCACTCAGAAGTCACCAAACGGCGGTGGATCAACCGTGTTTTTCTTGGTCTGTCCTTCATGCCAAGCCTTCCGTATTGTACGCTTCATTTCATCATCACCTTCCTCATACATCTGCTTCATCATGTTCATTAATGACGCTTGTGGATCATCATCCAATTTGTCGTCAAATTTCGGTTTCCTGGTAGAAAGTATTCAAGCACTATCACGGGGTTTGAAGAAGAAAAAGATTCCAAAAAAAAAAGATGTAAAAGTTGTAAAGGCACACCTCTTTTGCTTCTGATCATATTCTAGCTTTGTAAGTTCTTCCCATTTCTTTCCTTCGTTTTTCTTTTTCATCATAACAAGAAGCATGTCAGTTTTCACCTGAAAAGACGACCACAAACATGAGTGAATAATTTCATTTCTGACAAAAAATGCAAAGATAATTCCAAATATAGGACTAATTATGATCAATACTAAGAAATCAAGAATGGTTGAAAAGTCGCGAGTTATTTGCACATCTGAACAACCGTTGCTTACAACAAGTCGTCTAAAAGAAAAAAAACGAACAAGAAGATAAGGTAACATCCAATACTTACCTTGAGCTGACTACTCTCCGGAATAATTTCGTCCCGTAGACCTTTCATTGTCATCACGTAATTTTTACCACCATGATCAGAAACGGCAATATCATATCCACTGAAACAAGAATACACCTTTTCCATCCAATCTATTACGAATAAGGATAATTCGCCAATAACCTACGTGTTGGTAAAGCTATGTTGAATGCTGGAAGGGTTGGCATTCTGCACCCCTTGCAATGTTATGTACACCTTGACAAATTTGTCCGACTCGTCCCACCCTGCAAAGTGAAAATTCAAGTGAAATATTTATTGCAGTTCAAATTTCGCTTGAAGACCTAAAGGGGAAACGTCACTGTTAACCTCTTTTGAGAATAACCGAATGAAATGCTTTTGAGAAAAATGTGTTTCTTCAGAATTTTTACTTAGAATTAATAAAATCCAAGGGTCAAATGTGAGTCACAACTCACCTCCCAATTCTTCACTCAAAGAATAATATTCAATCTGACGAGTATTGAAACTTCGAAACCCATTAAAACTTACCATAATTAGTGACCTTCACCGTTGGGAGACTTGAAGGAGTTGATGGTTTCTCTTTGTTGACAGAAACTGTAGAACTAATAGTTTCGGAAATTTTAGCCTGAAAGCAAATCGTATCAACAAACGGTGAATCATGGCCAATCCCTTTCATTTAAAAGATCAACTTTTAAAATTCCCAGCAGACCTGATCACAGCAGCTTGCTACGGACTGCGTGCTTTTTTTCAATATATCAAAAAGGTTAAGCTATAGTACCGGTCCATTTTTCAGGGGCCGCACCTTACACAATATGAGGGATTCGATAAAATTAGCTTTCGGTTCAAACCGAGAACGAAAGATATGTCTTTGAACTTGTTCCTCTTATTAATGGATTCGGTCAATACTCGCCCTGATATGAGTGCGATTCATGATTAACTCACGGGTTGCTCAGCTACAAGTTTACTGATCTTGCTATCAATCCATTCTTGAATCCTAGGCCTTTTTGCCAGATTACGCAGAGAACGCAGTTCTTCTAAGTCAAG